AAAAAGAAAGTGGGGGGGGGGGGTGGAGGGAAGGAAGAAAGGAAGGAAGGAAGAAAACAGAACACAATTAGCCAGGCCTATATGTCCATCTCCTCAAGAGGGTAAGGCATGGAAATTCCCAAGTTCTGCCAGAGCTACAGAGCAAGTTCAAGTCCCTGTCCCTCCCCCACCCCCTTGAAGAAAATAAGGCTGACAAAGGGGCTAGGGTAAGGAATTAAGCTATAGAGGGCTCACCTAGAAGAAACGAGACCAGGCCCTAGGTTCAATCTCTTGTAACACACATACACACACGCGCGCGCGCACACACACACACACACACACACACACACACACACACACACACACACAGAAAACCTTGACTGGCTATTGCTAATTACCACTGGATGGACTTAGCCATCTCCACAGGCTAATATTACAAGGGAGACTGGTTCCAGAGCAAGTTTATTTTCAATTATTCTTCCTCCTTCCATTCCATTGTAACAGTAATATCGTTTCATTCCAGAAAAGCAGGGAATTAGCCAGAATCCCCCTCGCCCCCAGAAGCAGTATTAACATTATTGAGTTTATTTGGTATCATAAGGTAAGTATCCTTTGCACTGGCTTTGTTCATTTAACACTATGTCAGCAGTCAACTGAGTCCAGCTCTAGTGACAGATAAATCTGAAACTGCCTGTTGGCTAGTCCTAAACATGCTCACTGTCCCTTGTCAAACCAAACTGCTGGGGAGCCCAGTGCCAACTGGGAAATGGGGGGGGGGCTGAATCCCACTCCCCAGTCAACGCGCTTCAATTGCAAGGCAAATGGAGATGATGTCTGGGTGTGGCAGTCTATGGTTTAAGTCTTGCTGTGGCCAGTTTCTAATCCACATTTATCCCAATGCTACTAATTGTTTCACACTGGACCTGTGAATAAGAGCCCCAGGCCTCCACCATGGTTCCCAGCAGGAGTCAAAACACTCCCACAGTGAGCCGATTACAGAGAAAGCTGAAGCTTCAAAGGCTGAGTTATCACTCAGCATGCTCTTTCAGAAGAAAAATCTAGCTGTTTCAAAACATCTGATTTTGTTTGCCTTTTAGTTTATGCTTATATAGAGGGAGAAGCTAAATGGCTTTAATTCTGTAAAGGCTTAAATGATATGTTTTATGTGATCAAGTCATTCTCCTATTGAAAATTCTACTATGGTATTTCACAGCTCTGAGGAAGATCAGGTTTCTTAATGCACCACAGACAAAAACCAAAGTAGGTTCCTGCCTACTTCTCTGGCTCCACCATTTCCAAAGACTATCCAGTGGGACATTAACGTGGGGGTTTCTGCAAAGTAAGAACAAATCCTATTGGGTGCATGCTCCATTCTACCCATTCCCAAACTCCACCTTCAACCTTCACCCCTCCCAATTGACCAGAGAGGGCTTTCAGAGCGAGCCTGTTTAAATTAGCAGCTTAACCCATTGTTTTCCAATTAATTTGCTACATCCCATTCCCTTCATCTAAATCTGTTTTCATTTAAAAAAAAGGAAGGAAGGAAGTAAGGAGGGAGGGAGGGAGGGAGGGAGGGAAGGAAGGAAGGAAGGAAGACTTTTAGAAATCTTACAGTGGCCTTGCTTTCCCCCAGCTTTAGGAAGAGAAAGCCGTTTGTTTCATGAATTTCTTATGCTTCCTCTAAAGTATCATCCTCCCATTGCTACTTACCAATTTCCAGTTGCCTCTAGTCATCTCCCAGGTACCAACACAGTCTGATTTGGATTCCCCTCCTCCACACTCTCACAGACCTTTATACAATTGTGTGTGTGTGTGTGTGTGTGTGTGTGTGTGTGTGTGTGTGTGTGTAGGAGATTATGGGCTGCTGGAGGTGGGTGCAGGGAACCAGATTTGGGTTCTTTTCAAGAGTAGAAAGTGTTCTTATAACTGCTGAGCCATCTCACCAGTCCCAATTTATATGTATTTCTTTTTCATAGAGTTTAAAAATTACACAATACCATTCAATTTGCTTGGTTGTCTTTCCATAATAGGCTTTCAATACTCAAGATGAGGAAACAGGCTTTTCCCCCATTTGATGTTGCAACTTTAAATTTTTGACAGATATGTGGCTGTTAGATGCTCTGCATGGATGAGTCTCAGTTGAACAAGATTCTGTTCACTTGCAACACTATATGCTTGTGCCCCAAGTTTTCAGACTAAAGACCTGGCTTCTGCATTAAATTCTTGACTTGGGATTCTAAATCGCATGTGTAGTAGTAGTTTCCTCCAGTTACTTTTCTGTTCCTGATCCTTGACCAGACCCTCTCTGTCTTCCTCGCCATTTGTCTGAGGCGGGTTTACACTGAACACTTCTCACAAGCTTCCAGAGCTCTAGCTTGATACAGATTCCTCATTACAAGTCTCAGCTGAGTTTCTCACATCACCCATGACAGTAAAAGCTGAGCCCCCAAAGCCATGAATACAACAATAATCTTGGCCACCAATCCTGACAACCGGAGTTCAAGTCCCAGGGCCCACGTGGTAGAAGCAGAGAGCTAACTTCTGCAAGTTGTTCCCTGGCCTCCACTCAAGTGTATGTCGCTCATCGGCACCCTCCCTCCAATTAGTAAGCGTAAGAAACATATTTTAGCCCGTTCACTTTTCTCCATCTCTTCTATCGTCGTCACAGTGCAAGCCTGGCCTGTTATATGGGCCTTTCTTCTCAACAGTCTCCTTACTAGTCAGTTCCCACTCATCACCCACTCTCTCCCTATCTAACAACTTCAGGCAGAGTTTAAAGGCCAGAACTTTTTAAAAAAGGAGTCATGATGCTTTAGGCTTAAAATCGTCTAGTGGCATATTGCCTACAAAATTCACCAATAGGTACATAATGTAACTGAGAAATATGTCCACATAATAATGTACACACAAATGTTTATAGTAACATTATTCATAATAGCCAACAGATAGAAACAATTCGAATGTTATCAACTTATGAATAGCCAAACAATATCCAATGGTGAACTATGAAAAGGAATAAAGTTCTCATGCCTGCTTGAGAAAATATACTAGAAAGAGACACCTGTGGACTGACAAAATCACTAAAAGCAGAATCAAGATCTGTAGCAAATGCCATCTTATCCACATGGGTTATGATATTCAAGGGGGCAGTGGCTCTCCATGATTCTCTAATGCGTGCACCAACTCAATCCAGCCTGAAAACAAATGATTTCTCTATCTTGTTTAACTTCTCTCGGCTAAGAAGCACTCCGTGTGGGACACGTGGGCGCATGTACTTGTGTGAGTAAGCGCATGTTCACATGTAGCTGTATGTGTAGGACGGTGTCTTCCTTAACTGCTTCTCCGTGCTCACTGAACCAGGAGGTCATGGATAGACTACACTGCCAGCCGGGGAAGCTCCCAGGCTGCCACTGAAGCCTCCTCCAAGTGGGGGTCACAGATGTGCGATGCTGCGGCTGCTGTTACTTGGTTGCTGATGACCGGGACTCAAGTCCTCATACTTGCACAAACATTTTAAAGAGTGATTTCCTTTTTTGGCTAATAAAAAGTCTACTCTTAAATTTAGTTTCTCAGATGAAACTAAATAGTACTTCTCTGCCCACTAGTAAATATATAAGTATTATACATTCAAGACCAGCTTATTAATGCTTACTTGGCTCAAAGCCAACTAGAAGAGGACACCTGGGGGCTACGGAAATGGCTCAGCTCTTAGGAACACTTGCTGCTCCCCCAGAGGACCTAAATTTGGGTCCCAGTTCCCTATCCGGAGGCTCACAACCTCCTCTAACAGCAGCTCCAAGATATCTGACACCTTCTTCCAGTCTCCAAAGGTAATAGCCACACACGGCACCGATGCACATACACACTTGCAAGCACGCATGCATGCATGTACACACACGCATGCACACAGAGCACACCCATATATACATACACACAAATAAAATGTCTCTTTTAAAGAGAAAAGAGGACAACTATTGACTCCGAAACCTGTTAGTGCAGAAAAGTGATTTTCTTATAATTTTATGGAAAAAAAAATCAGGAAAATACTATTTTTCAATACACTTAACTTCTCTCCTTTTTCAAAATGTGTGCTTTTAACAATAAACAAATAACTACAAAGTTTGGTATTGTATCTCTTAGATATTATTTCCTGGCTTCTCACGTATCCATACACACTGAGAAGTAGAAAAATATGTTTTCAGACACTGAAAAGAAATCAAACTAAAAATCTAAATCTCGATAGAGGTTTGCGTCCTTTCCTCGTCAGAAAAGAGAGTGGCGCCAGAGCCTTGGCCGGCGTGCACACTGGGTTTCATTGGCCACAAGCTGGAGACAGCATCCAGCAACTCTCCCTTCCATCTCACTGCCCACAGCCTCTCCATCCTAGCAACTAAAGAGTTCCCTTCTCCCTAGGCTCTGTCTCATGCTGATGTACAGCTGCTCTCTGAGTCTCTCTCTAAAAACTCTGCAGTGTTGCAGAGCATGCAGCCCTAGACGCAGGCACGCAAGCAAAAGGATCAAAAGGCTGACGGCGGCTTGAGGAGCACAGCAAGTCTCAACAACTACAGACAGGCGGGTCTCCACCCCACATCGCCGGCAGGCATAAATGTTCGTTTCCTTCCCTGGCATTATTCTTGCATGGATACAACTACACCCAGCTCTGCTTCTTCGAGGGCTTTTCTTTTTTCTTCCCCGCAGCATCACAGAGTGATCACAGAAAACTCAGAACAAAATGAAGGGTTTCGAGCTCCACATCACAAAAGGAAAAATTATGCCTGTCAGTTATCATAAGACAGGTAGAAAAAAGGTCTGACTATATATAGGACATGATGCCAAATAGTCAGAAATAAGACCTCCACCACAAAACAAACAAACAAACAAACAAACAAACAAAACCCTTCCAAGGTAAGACTCAACCCCAACAAGAAAGTAGGGTCTATTTGAGCTCGGGTCAAGGCCTTCCTACCCGCTTCTCTCTCTTATCTCAGAGCAGAGCCCTGCAAAGGCATCAGGAGCCTCACCTCCTCTTCTCCCGGGCCTCCGCAGAGGACTCTGTTCCGGCAGAGGAGAACACCGTGGCAGCTGGAACCCCATTGGCAGAGCTTGGTGCAGGGCGATTGGTGATCACGCACAGGGGGGTACTAGAAGAGACGCCGCCGCCGTCTGTTGCCTTCTCTGCTGTTGAATCAGCCTGGGATTTGTAAGGGGTCCTGAAATGAAGATAGGAGCAGAAGGAGATTGGTCAGGCGTGGCACACAACAAAACACTGGTGCAGAGGAAGGAGGGCACAGGTCTAATAAGAATCTACTGGAACAGTATGACTATACATTTAGTCAGACATCTTCTGCCCAGGACTTACATTTTACAGGTTTTTGGTTTTTTTTTTTTTAATTGCATGAGATTAAAAAACAAACAAACAAAAATCAGCTGTGGCAGAAGGCAAGATAGTGACATATATGCACGTGTTCTAAATGACTCATTGCTACCTGACCTCCCTCCACACATGCACAGAGAGACAGGATCTCACTACAGGTGAAGAGGACACTAGCATCACTTACGGTATCAGTCTCCACCTGGCCCTCAATTCTTGGCAGGCAAAGTCTTTGCGGCAGTCCTCAGCCTGGATTTGATGATCATCTTCTCGAATTATCCATTTGAAAATTATTCTACAACCTCAATCTGTCCGGTTCTCTCTCACCTAGTCCAGCAACTGCAGTCATTTCCCATTTAGCCAAGTGCCTAATCCTCTACATTCATAGCTGCCTAAGTCAGAAACTGTAACAGAAATCGAGCAGGGGTCTGTATGTAACCGTAACTACAGACTGCAACAGCAAGCTGTATAATTAAAGTCATTTATGTGGAAATAAGATCTTTGTTTCCTAACAAAGAGTCAGGAGCAACCATTGGCTCTCCACCCAAAAAGCTATCATTTGTGATGTCACAGCTTGTTGCTGGGGTAACAGAGATCCAAAATTGATACTTGCAGAGATGGGAAGAGCAATGAGAAGCATGAATGTTAAAAATCTGTTTTTCACTCACTCACAATTATTATCAGAAGTGGCTACAAGTAGCTATAAGTATAAGCTCACTTCCAAATATATATTATTAGGATAAGTGTAAAAGAGATAATCAAGCTATGAAGTCTAAACATGGCATTAAGAAACACATAAAAAAATATTTTTAAAGATGAAAGAGGTGATATATAAAAAAATATAAGCTACTTCTCCAGAAGCAATTAATATTTCAGAATAAGGTGATAATGTATATTCACTTTCTCATCTAAAAAGTTGGAGATAATTCCTAGGGTTTATTAATATACACAAAGCACTAACAAAGTTAACAAGAAGCACAGCCATAGGAATATGGCGCCACCCTGGGAATAGTGTATGCACCTACAACTCTCAACGACTAGGAGGCTGGGGCAGGAAAATTTCATGAACCCAAGACCTGAGACCAGTCTAGGAAACAGACTCCATCTCCCCACTAAAAATAATGAACACATGCCAGAAACAAAAGCCTTAAGTGAGATTTTACACTTAATGAAACTTACTGACATTTATTTCTGGGTTAATACTGTGTTTTGGATTCTCTGCAATTCCTTTTTTTTTTTTTTTTTAAGTTTTATTTATAGGTGTGTATATATTGGAGGAGGTCGGAGGTCAAGTCTGAGGCACTCCCTCACTCCTTTACATGGGCTCTGGGGCTCAAACTGGGGCTGCCAGGCCTGTGCCACAAGCACCTTTACCTGCTGAGCACCTTGCCAGCCTTGCAATTTCTTGGGCTGTTGAAATGCCAGAGATTTTATTTTATTTTCTAATAACACTTTACTGTTATTTTGAAACATGTTGTCACTTTGTAAGCAGACTTAAGGGTAGCCAGGGAAGCTCTAGAGCAGGCTCAGAGACTACACAATGGAACCACGGGGTGCTAACAACCAAACAACTTAAAGACCTGATCTCTATGACAGAGAAAGCAATGGTTCTCACGATGAGTCTGCACAATGCCCAGATAGCACCCAGAGTAAAATTCAAACTCAGTGTGAACAAAACAGGTTTCTCATGAACTAATTTGGGTATGAAACCTGCTTCAGTCCCTCCATGGCTTTGTGAACTTGGGCTGACGATCAAGCTTTTGGTTTCCTTTCCTCATCTAAAAATACTATGTTCAACACAACAGGGAGCTGCTCATGAGACTATAAATAACATGTAAGTGCCTAAGGCAGGGGTTACCAGACTAACACTGGTCCCTGGTCTTCCTAACAGGTGCCCTGTACGCATTTTTCAATTATCTTTTCATCTTTCGAGAGTATAAATTTTTTACATTTATTTATTTGTGGTGCACGGAATATGTGGTTTGCATGCACAGATGCATTTACGTAGGTCAGAAGGCGATTTGTTAAGTCCGTTTTTTCCTTCAACTATGTGAAATCCAGGGAAGGAATTTAGGTCATCAGGTTTGAATGTAAGTTCCTTTACCCAAGAAGCCATCTCTCTAGCCCTATGTGCTCTGTATTTCTTAGGGCAACAATGTACCTAGCCCACATCGACATCTCCCAAGGTGTGCCAGGTGCTGGAAATATCCCATAAGACACAGCATACATCCAGTGTTTCTGAAAAAAGTATTAATCTAGCCGTCTCTCTTTGCCTGCCTCTCTCCTCTATTACTTTATATTCAGAGTGCAGACATCATGGCTATAACCTCTAGCAGATTTTCTGGACTGTGAGGCAAGCCTTGGAAATAGAACCCACAATGTGAAGAAAAAGAACTAGACCTTTTAGTGACTTTGGAGATATTGTGCTGGCCTTGTTTCTGTGCTTTCTTACTTGTATGAAAAAGCAACCTTTTTATAGTTCAAACAATAACACGGGGATTTACTGCTGCGTATCAGTAAACCAAATCCCAGCCTACAAATCCCTTTTGCTCAGAAACTAGTCCAGTGCCTGTCCCAAGATAGGCTTCAACAAAACAGTTCCCAGTTTCAGCTCTGTGATTTCCTCGATGCTTAGGGTTGAACCCACGGTCTTTGGCATGCTAAGCAAGTGCTAAACACTACTCTACGTTAAGCTCCCATCCTCCTGTCTGGATTCCTCTTCTTTAGTGATGATACACAGAATATCAATGTAGCTGTTATTATGGGAATCAAATAAATTTCTATGCAACTATACAGTGTTACTATTAGAGTCATAAACCTGAAATCGCTACATAATTATAACAGTATTAATAATAATGTATTATAAAATAATTATTTCTAACCAAATTAATGGTGACTATTTGTTTCCGGGAAAGATATCTATTTAACTGGCAGACGTCAATGAAGGACCACATGTAATAGGTGTTCTGGCAACAACACTATCATCATTTCTCTCTCTCTCTCTCTTTTTAATTTTCTTTCTGCCAAAACAAGACCTATAAAGGCCATATGGCAAAGCCAAAACACCCAGGAAAGCGTAAATGCTGTGGTGTGCAGTACAGCTAACGGCTGGAGAGCACTTGATGCTCATGCAAAGAACCCAGTTTCCCTTCCCAGAAAGGTGGCTCATGACCACCTGGAAATGCAGTTCTGGGAGATCTGACCGTACACAGACAGACAGATAGACAACGAGGCACAGCACTACGCATCAATTAGCTATGTATATGAGGGCGGCTGGGTGTCGGTGCGTCTTTAACCACAGCACTTAGGAGCAGCTCTCTCGCTTCCAGGCCTGCCTGGCTTACACAGAAAATGAAGGCAAAGCCACCCAGGCCTACACCGGAAGACCCTGTCTCAAAATAACCAACCAACCAAAGACCTGGAGCCCTGCTGCACTTTCCCAAGGACACTCCGGAAAACCAGAGGCACGCTTCCAGAACACAGTTTCTGCAAACACAGGCCCCTCCTCCCCTCTCCTCCCAGTGCTCCCAGAAGAATACAGACTAGCGTAACTGTCAGAAGGCCGCAGGGCGGTCTTGGTACATGGGTTGGCTTTCCTTCTGGGTTTCTGTGTCACCTTCCAAAAGACTAAATACATGTGGCTCTTACTAGAACAACAGTAAGTAAAAAAAATACAGCAGTATTTTTCATATGTAATTTATTATCATGGGTCTGACTCTAAAACTGTAAACACAACTGGAAAAGTGGTTGAGAAACTAAAGCAGCCATGCTGCTTTGACTCCTGAACTCCAACACAGTGACATGGATCCATGTCACTCAATAAGCAGTGGCTGACTGGCTGGCTGGCTGGTGAACTCAACACAAAAGCACCCTCATTACATTCTGGCTGCTGGCACAGGAACTGAACCGACTCCTACACTGACAAAGCCTCTTTGCTTCAAACTTCTCCCGTGTTTCCAGAAGCATTAGCTGTGATGATGCAATCCAGTGGCTCCAAGAAGCCTTACCTGACACACTGTACGGACGCAGCAGTGTTTGTACTGACTGGTGCAGGGCAAGAGGCAGGTTGCCACTGGCTGCCCCGAGAGGTGGATGGACCAATGGTAATGGGTGAGGTAGCAGGAGATGAATTGCGACTGGCTGAGATGTAGGGACTTGTGGGGCCACTACTTTTACCAAGTGAGGCACTGCAAAACAGTACACAGTCACTTTCTTCAGGACAATGCCGCTCACCCACCATCTCCCAACACCGCCTTCCCACCCAGATTGTGCGTGTCAAAGGAACGGAGGCCAAAGAGATGGCGTGGCAACCAGGAAGGGGACAGGCCACTCCAGCCAGAGCTGGGTCTCCAGCAGCAAGCAGGCACTCGTCCAAGGGTGAAACAATCGTCACTCTTTGAAGGATGATTTTTATTTATTTATTTATTTATTTATTTTTTTGGATCAATCATCCAAGAGCAAAGGAGGAGAGTGGTGGCCTTCAACAAGGGAAAGCTAGAAAGTAGAACACATGTCAAGAGACTAGTATTAGAAGGAAAAAAAGATCCCGAACAAACCCGAGGCCCCAAATCATGCAACACCACCACCTACACGATAGAGAAGTAATGTCGCAAAAGCAGGAAGACCCAAGAGTAGGGGAGGTCTTAAAGATTTAGAACAAATAAAGTAGAGGAAAGAAAGGAACTAGGTGAGAGGGGAAAAAAAAATGGCTGCTGCAGTCACTTAGCTTAAAGAAAAAACGTCACAGGGAGGGATTTAAAGCTTTAAGTCTACAAAGTGACAGCGTGTGACCAGGAAAAGGCAAAGGGGTGTGTGTTTGTTTGCTTTCGGCTGAAGATGTAAGGACTCCCTCAACCGCAGCAAAACACGATTGTGTTAGAAGTTTGTAGATGCTTTCTGACTGTAAGGGACACTAGGGGCCGGGGGAAAGGCTATGGCACCTTCTCTGCAAAAGCAGCGTTTTCCTGGGCTGTATGAGACTAGCTCCTGGCTAAATGTAAGACATGATGCAGAAAATTCAAAGAAGACCAAGGCTTGGCACAGCTGGGGGATGAGAGATTCCTTCTCGTACTTTCTTTTTAAAATGCTGGTGGCATACAATTCTTTCTTCTTGGGCCGATCACAAGGCTTTATAAAATCACCGTGGGTCACAGAAAAACGAGCACTGGAAACCTAAGGCACCGAGTGAGCCGTAGATCTTCTCTCAAAAAAAATGCTCATGTAATTTAGCACAATTTGCAGCCCTCTCTTCTTCTTCTGTTCACTGTAACTTTGCCCAAACTACAGCAAACCAAAGGCACTCAAACCCATTTGCTGGTAAATTTGGGTCATGAACATCAGCAACCTCATCCCCCAATAACTCCACATTTGAGAACTAAAACAAAGTTTTCTTTTACCCTACCTCTAGAACAATGGATTTGACTGTAAGAAGTAATGATAATCATCTTGGTAAATCAAGGCCTTTCCCTTCAAGAGAAATAGGTGATACCCTCATAAAGCCCCAACCCCTGATTTGTATAGTAGGCAGTGGCTTGGACAGAACGCAGTTGGTAGTATGCTTGCCTGACATTCAGGAGGCCCTGGGGTAAATTCCTAGCCTCATATGTGTGAGTAGTGACATATGCCTGTAACTTCAGCACAAGCAGGTAGATCAAATTTTCAAGGTTACTTTCAAATATATCCTGAGTTCAAGGCCAGCTGAGGCTACATGAGGCCTTGCCTGTATAAGTAAATACATAAAATAGCCATTGAGATCACCGAGCAGTACTTCTGTGCTTTCAAAGTCAAGCCCTTTGTTAGGATGTACCTGCAGAACTGAAGAGTTAAAAGGAGTGGTGTCTGTTTCCATTATAGCTTATTACCCTTGTTCCGACATTAACCCCCTGCCAAGAGCCTTCCTGTCAGGAAGAAATAGTTTTGGTTGCAAGCAACCAACGTGCTCTAACAGTCTGGGCCAACGCCTCTTCCCAAGGCAGCCATCTAGAAAGCCGAGTGACAGGAGGCAGGAGGCAGCAGCTGGAAGGGCTGAGTGGAGGTAAAGAAAGAACTCAAAGTAAGCAACGGAAAACAGATTTTTCTACGTCAGCAGTGAAGTTCAAACGAAAATATTATTAAGTGTCCTTGTAGCTTAATGGTCTGGCAGAGGTGCTTTGCTTGCTGGCTAGCTTGTGGCAAAGAAAAGAATCGCAGGAAAGAGAACACAGATGAGATGAAAGCAAACCCGTGTACCTTCTCTGCACACCAGACTTGCGAGTTTCTCATCTTGACGGATCTGAGGGCCATTAAAGTCATAAAAAAAAAAGAACAACTCAAGTCCCTAAATTGACAGGCTCAACATGAAATGTCTTAAATCCAACAGAAAACTGTCCCCATTTCCCACTCTTTACCACCCTATCGTGCCCCCCCCCCGCCCCAAGTGTAATCTGTGATGCAAACTACCCTAGCTTTAGAAAAGGGGAAACCAGGACTGGGCAAGAGTATAAACCCCTCTTCCCCAGAGAGCAGTAGATGCTACTTCAGACTGAAACTTTCACAGGGCCGAGAGGATGGAATGCAAAGTCGTGTGTGTTGTGAGGAATGGAACTGGCTTCCCTTAATCCAGTCATTAAGAGAACGAATTAATTTTAAGTCAGGGAAAATGTTGATCCCGGAAACCTAGAAGCCACTCGTTTCTGTGCTGCTACTTGGATATGAGAAGCATACAGCCATCACCCACACTCCCATGATCAGACTGAAGGGAGCCACCTCCCAGCCCTCTGCAGCTGGTACCTTTTCAAGCAGGTGGACACGTAAGTAGAAGGGGCAACTGTCCGTGGGGTCCCATGTCCCTTCGCTTCATCCCGCCACGGCTGCCTGCCGTGGGAGCCGCTCCTCACTAGATTAACAGCTGACTCTCTGTAGAGGCAAGAAAGACACGATCTGCACTAGAAACAGAGAGAAGATCCAAAGGAAAACCCTAGCATGCCAAAGAAGCAAGCACACCTTTCAAGTGACTCTGTCTCCTGTCTCCTGTAGCAGCCCTGGCCTTTCTTCTATCAACATCAGAGCCAACTCGTTCCAACAGGAACAAAATGACGCCTCGCACCAAAAGCCCCTCCTCCTTTTGTGCCGAGGAGTCACTTCTTACTCTCATTTAAGAAGGCCCTTGCCATAACCTCCGGTGGCAAAGGAGCCAGGGAGGTTACTAGAGAAAGAAAACACGAGGGTGCTGCTCATCTGCCTCTTCAGCAGTACAAATGAAAGAGACCCACAAGGCGCTGTAGTAGGATTTTTGCGCTCACAGTCAAGAACGTGGAGCCCTTGCTGTAGTGGCTGTGGGCCTGCAGCAACCCTCCGGCTTTCACATTTATTTGATCACTGAGACTCTGATTCTGATTGTGAGCTGCAACCTGAGCTGCAGTTCCAACGGGCTCCCAAGTGATGTCTGTTGGGAGCAACATGCCTTCAGGGTAAAAAGGGTCCACACTGGGTTCTGTCTTGAAATGCAACAACAGCCTGCTGCGGTACTAAAGCTAACTCACACTTGGAAGGATCAGAGTCTTGCAGACAGTGATGTCTAAACTGGAATTACAATTTAACTGGGGAAGAACGGGCAAAGAGAGAAAGTAAAGGCTGGGAAGTATTGTGGGCAGAAGGACAAGCGGCCCACAATGTACTGAGAACACCTGTGGGAAAAGGTAGACAAATCATAGCCACCTCTCTATGCCCAGGGGCTGACAGAAATCATCTTTTGGCGTGCATTGTGATTACCTGTTCTCCTTTTCTTCAATGTCACTCGTGCTACTGAGCCTCCGGGGTGCCAGCGTACCAAAATAGCTTTTGTTTTCCCTTTCCTGTAAAAATAAAAACATGTAAAATGAAAGAAAGGTTCAGCACTGACAGAATATAAAACATTTTTTTTTTGGTACAAATTCAGGACTCTGCTAGGCACCGTGGTACATTTGAAATCACAGCTCTTGGGAAGTAAAGGCAGGGAGATTTTAAGTTCAGGGACAGCCCGAGCTACAAAAGTGAGACTTTGCCTCAAATCTCAAGAAGAGGATAAAAGTGGATCTTATGATAGTTACACATTCTCCTATCTGGATTCATCCTCAACTCTGTTTTGAGTGGTATTACAAAAGGTTATCTTCCCAACGTATCCCTACCCTTCCTTCATAAAAACCCTGTATGGAGGGAAACCACTCTCAAGGGGAAACTCAGGCGCTCCAGGGAAGAAGACAGCCCAGCTTATGTACAGGGCAGCACTGGGGGGCGTGAGAGGCATCTGAGAAGCCACACGCAGTCCCTGCAACGCCCTGCATGCACCAGTCTCGTTCCTCTCCGGCTGCTTTTTCCTCAAAATGCAGCTTCCTCAGGGGCACCTACCACAGTTCATCCAACCACTGTGACTCATCCTTCAAGCTGTCACCAGAAAAGCAAACAGCAAGCAAAGCGGACTACAGTTACTAGGAAGGCCCAGAGTAGAACACTAAGTGAATGTCCTAAAGTCTAGCACCGGACTCTGATGAATGCCACAGTGAAGCGCTTGTCTAGTCGGCCTAGTCACATATTTCTACAAGTGAAAAGACAGGTTAAACTTTTCCTACTAGGCAGGGTATAATGGTATATACCCAGAATTCCAGCACTTGGTAGACACTAAGGCTACATTGCAAGCTCTAGGCCATCCTGCCTTAGCTGCACTAAGGTTCAAAGTTCAACTTTACTTGCAAACATCAAAAGAGTAAGTTTTCTTGACACTGTTTCAGAAGAACCATTTGGGCCATGTTCAACTTTCTGAGTCAATGTTTTGCTCTAGGTGAGTAAGAAAGAATGAACATAAAATAAGCCAAAAGGAAAAGCTATTTTTAAGACTTTCTTTCTTGGCCAAGAAAAATACTAGCAAATAAGTAAACTACTGAAGTGACAAGGGCAATTTGTTTCAACAGAGACCAGATGCCTTGCACCAAAGCCCCTCGTCCTTTCTTGTTCCCCATCTTAAAGGCAGCTTGGGGACTAGAAAACACCTGTATTTGTTGTCATGACTGAATTTTCACCGAGGAACACTGAGGGGACTTGGAAGGCCGGCTCCCTCCTCCTTCCTTCCTCCCTCCCTCCCTCCCTCTCTCGCCCAGCACACCTTGTCTCTGTCATCCAGCAAAGCTGAGATGCGAGGGCTGGATGAGGACCGGTAGATGGAGGAGCCCCGGTCTCTAAAGGCATCCCTGGAGTTGGCCACTTCACTCAGCATATTGTGACTGCCAGTTTTTCTGAGTCCCAGTCTCCACGAAGAAGGAGACTCGTCTTTGGGCTCTTCTGTCTTGTTGAAAAGACTAGAGAGCTATGCGGGAAGAAAAGGAAGAAGGGAAACCCTGAAGATCTCTTCTGCTTTGTCCTATTTGCTTCCCCCACTTAATGAAGGGCAGCGGAGCAGCCTGGGACGCATTAGAGGAACAGACCCCTGGCAGGCTTCCTGTCACTGCAACCACGCACTTGACATCTTAGACGCTCCCAAGGCCTCTTTCTTCAGAAGCCAGCAGTGAGCTCTGTTCTTAGTGTTCCTACCCAGAAACTGGCTCTGAGAAAGGAAGCCCCTTTGCTGTCCCTGTGACCAGCACTGCCCGAAGCACCAGGAGACTGTGCTCTGGGGACTCCTTTTCCTTTGACTTGACAGGTTCCTGAAAATAAGCTACTTTTCTTCGCTCTGTGTCAATGTGCTTATCTGTAAAACTGGTAGTGAGCTTGATTTTTCCCTTTCGTACAGTCTGAAGAAACAGGGTGAGCTGGTGTATAAATACATGTGGAGGCAGTGTTCTTCCATGTGGTAAGCTAATTATTTCCTCTTACTGAAAATAATTTTTTTCTCTCCTATAACCTGATTACAATTCCCTTCCCTTTACCTCTTGCCTCCAGGCCTGCTCTCCATCTAGAATCCCCTCCCACTTTATCCATCATTAGTAAAGGGGAAATAATAAGATAAAACAAAAACTAACATACTGGAATTGGACCAAAAACAAACAAAAAAACAAAAAACAAAAACACAGAAGGAAAAGAACCCAAGAGAAGGCACATGAAACAGAGACCCACTCGGCACACTCAGGAATCCCATAAAAACACTAAACTAGCATAATAAACACAAAGGACCTGTCTCAGACGGACGTAGACCCTTGCATGCTGCCTCTGTCTCTGTGAGTTCATAGGAGCTTTGCTCACGTTGATGTAGAGGACCTTGTTTCCTGGCCTCCACCCCCTCTGGTTCTAACACTCCCTCGGCCTCCTCTCCCAAAGTGTTCCCTCCCTGAGCCCTGAGGGATGGGATTTGATGGAGAGATGTCATTTAGGGCTGAGTATCCCAAGGTATCTCATGTGATAAGTTAATACTAATGACAACTCCTCAGAATTCTAACTCTGATATTAAGAAAATAAAGTCAAAGAGTTTGATATTTTATTGAACAAGAAATTTTAAGAGATAATTTTTTTTGAGATAAGAAGGTCACCATCTTTCTTATTCTGCCTAGACAGAACACCTTTCAAAGAAATCAATAGCTCGCCATCACCACAACTGCATTAAAAAAGATTCTGAGTATCAAAAAAGGAAGGTTCAGCTGGGCGTGGCAACACATGCCTGTAATTCCAGCACTCAGAAAGTAGAGGTGGGTAGACCAAGATCATGCTCAGCTACACAGTGAGTGTGAGGCCGGCGTAGCCCACAGACGCATCACAAAACCACAGAAGAGAGAAACAGTTTCCAGTGGGACACAGCTCAGTGGTACTATGCTTGACTAGCACGCTCAAGACCCTAGCTTCCAGCGTCAGCACTAAAGACAAACATCACCACTTCATGGGCATTTCTGCACTGCCATTTTGTCACACAGAGAAACAGGCTGGAGACGTGGTTCAGTGACACAAACATATACATACAAAGTTCAGTTCTAGTGCAGAGAAACAGACACAGCAGGGAAACGTCCCAGGCTAGCATTATTAGCCCAGAAACCAGATTAGGGTCTTTAGGGTGGTGGCGTTTCTTTAGATGGCAGGCAACAGCCCCTTTCCTGGGGACCTTAAGAGCAAAAGTCACTCCTCTCCGTTCCCTTTCCGCTCAGACTTTCTCTTGTTATCGGTCATCTAAGTATACACAGTTATGAGTCCGTTCTTTCCTTAAGTCACCATGACTTGGATGGAAATTCTTCCTCCTTTCCTAGTATTACTTCAGCAGAGGAGGCACGTGTGTTTGGTACAGGCACATCTAGAAGTAGTGTTGGTATCTGAGGAGCAGGTAAATGACTGGATAATGATCAAGGCTGGCACTCTGTCTAAGCCTGACTAAGTCACAATGATGACTCTAAAAATGAGTAAGGCCTGGCTAGACTTTGCCTCATTTCCCCTACGATGCACAATTAAAACCTCTAAGGCCAGAGAGCTCTCCCGGTTGCCCATCCCAAACATCTCAGACGACTCTGTCCCTCTGCCCCCCGAGGTCTACAGCTTCTGAGAGGCCCACGTAAAGCTGTTGCAGGGCAGCTTCCGCTATCTCCACAAGCCCCTCTTCTCCCACCCTTCCCATCACACAGGGCAACCCCATACCATGAGACTAAACTTTTCATGAGAAGTAGGAGACACCATCGCCACTGGAACAATGCTGGATGCTGCCCGCGTCTTCCTACCAGCCTACTTTGTATGCCATCTCCCTCACTCTCAGTGTGAGGGGAGCAGGTAGAACACACAGAATCTTTCTGGTCTCAGGATACTTCCTATGATTTTAACACACCCATAGCCACATTTGCTTGGTACTGGTTTCCCAAGGACTTAGGGCAATGTTATGGACCAAAACTCGTATTGAAGCCTTAATCGTCACGGATCCATCTGGACACTGGGCCTCTGAGGAAATGACAAAGGCAAAATTTGGCCAACAGCATGGGGCTGGTGCCCTTCTAAGAGGGAGGAGGCATCATCAAGCCAGGAGACAACCCTTCTGTGAGGGACTGGATTGGCTAACGCATCAATCCGGGAACTCTCCAGCTTCCACAACTGTAAGAAGCAAATTTCTATCTTTACGTCACAATTTATGGTATTTTGGTGTAAGAGCCTAAGAGAGGGAAGAACGTATTCCTACTGCCTAGCAAGTATACGCCTCTGAGGCCTTTGGAAGTGTATGTTACTGTAGTAGAGTGAAATCAATTCCAAAGTACTCACTCTCCTAGCAGAAGAAGAGGCAGACGTGTTCTGAGCTGGGGCTGAGAGCTGCTCCATGATACGACTTTTGCTTTCAGAGTTGGAATGGTTGACAGTGGCTTCTGGCTTTTTATCTGTTATTTAAGACAAGAGAAGTGACAAATATAAATAAGAAAATCTTAGCTTTGTGTGTATAAATCCCTTTCTACTAAGAAAAAAATGTTTTGCCATTATCAAAGCAGATTATTAGGACTGGACTCGCACTCGTACAAGCTCTAACAACTGTGGGTAAAAGAAATAAACTCGAGGACACCTTTTATCTTTGTAGGCTCCAACTTCTGATAAAAAATGTTTCTACATTAGAGTGTGAGTGACTGAGTGAGAGAGAGAGATAAGAGTGTATGTGTGTGTGTGTGTGCGTGTGCACCCATGTGTATTGTATGTAAAATTCATCAGTTTTGTGGGGAAGTTGGCTAGGAAATGAAAACAGAAAATGCATGAGATAGACTGCTTTCTGGGCAATGAAAAGGAAATAATAAAAACACAAGATCATACGGCTGATTCATAACAGGTACTGGGGATTTTAAAATAGGGCAGAACCTCTGAGGAAGGAAAGAAAGTTGACACAATCAGTCAACATTCTCCAAAAAGCTCCAGAGAAAGCTGACAGACTGGTGGCTAGATGGAGGAGGAATGATGCCTCGGTGATCACAGTCACACATCTGTTGCTTACTAAGTGACTGGCCTCATCTAAGTAATGAGTAATTCCTGGGCTGACAGTAGGACTCAGCAATAGAAAGGGTTTCAAAGACTGTTGATTAAGTTTCAGAACTAACTGGACTCATATAACTAGGAGTGGTCCAGCCCAGCAGGGTCATCAATCAGAAAGCTGTCTGCCTTACATATGGCTGTGTATCAGTTAATAACTAGCACAGGGCCTGGATCTGGTGGCTGTGATTCTGGCATTTATACTATGAGAACAGATCCAGAGTAAGCTTCATGGATCCTGTGATAATAATAAGCTACACCTACCTGTGTGATACTAAGTGACATACCATATTTGAAGCTCTATTTTCTAATTAACCAGAGAGTTAAAAAAATGTTTAGTTTATATATATTTTTTAATGTAGACATGCTCTGTATATATACCTGCATGCCAGGAGAGGGCATCAGATCCTATTATAGATGGCTATAAGCCACCATGTAGTAATTTGCTGGGAACTGAACTCAGGTCCTCTGGAAGAGCAGCCAATGCTCTTAACAGTTGAGTCATCTCTCCAGCCCCTAACCAGAGATTTCAACTTTTGCCCTGCAAGAATTTTTATGAAGATTAGAAATACTACTTTTAAACTGCAGAGCTCATTGGCTATAGTAAGCCTTTTTATGTTTTTAATGCTACCATTTTGTAGTTATAATGATCAATGGATTAAGTACTAAATACATCTAAGCTCCGAGAGCTCTAGCTTAGAAGCCTAATGGGACAGATTGTCCCGGTACTGGCTGCCGACGGTGCATCATGAGCTTGAGCAGGTTGCTTGCGATGGGCTCTGAAACATCAGCAACTAAGATTGTCAGCCTTGCCCTCTTAACTAACGTCAGAATCCAGCTGCCACATGAAGAGACAGGAGCAGGGCTGCTAAATCAGAGGAGGTCACTTCTCTGAACCATCACAGCCTGAGCAGTGCTGTCTAGGACCAACTATTCCTCCATATGCCTTACTAGTTGAAGATACAAACACAAATAAGCACACCACTGCCTTAAGGAGGAGACAAGCCAGCTACCTGATCCCTGCCCCAATTGCCAAGCCGTAGAAGAGAGTTCACATTAAGAGCTCTTGCCTATGTAGGCACAGAAAGTGTCTGTGGGAGCTAGACTATCTGAAGATCTTGAAGGCTAGGCTACAGGATTTGGGACTTACTCGCCAGACAGAGATAGGATGAGGGTGTTGGCTATGGAAGACTTCTAAACAGACGTATACTTGGATCGTACGTGTATTGTCAATATTTTATTCCAATGGCAATACGGACATGGTCTGCGTACTGGATAGTTTTATGTAAACATGACACAAACTAAAATCATTTAAGAAGAGGGAACCTCAATTAAGAAAATGCCTCCAGGCAGGTGGCAGTGATGCACACCTTTAATCTCAGCACTCTGGAGGCAGAGGCAAGTGGATCTCTGTGAGTTCGAGGCCAGCCTGGACTACAGAGTGAGTTCCAGGACAGGCTCCAAAGCCACAGAGAAACAATGTATGGTGGGGGACTGGGGGGGGGGGGAGAGATCCATAAGCTCAGGCTATAGGCCAGCTTGTTGTACATTTTCCTAATTAGTGACTAATGGGGGGCGGACCCAGCCTACTGTGGGTGGCGCCATCACTGAGCTGGTGGGCCTGGCTTCTATAAGGAAGCAGGCTGAGAAGGCCAGTGAGCAGCACCCTCCATGGCCTCCAGGTTCCTGTCCTGCTTGAGTTCCTTCAGTGATGGACCATGGGTGTGGAAGTGTGAGCCAAATTAACCCTTTCCTCCCCAACTTGCTTTTGGTCATGGTGTTTCATCACAGCAATGGGAACCCAAATCAAGAGAGTCGAGTCTGTAAGGACCTGAGGCAAGAGCATAAATCATGAAGCAACAGCAACAGTTTGAGGAGCTCCTTCCCATTCCCCTGGTACTGTTGTAAACTAACAACAACAAAAGGTAACAGCGCAAAACCAAGTATGAATCCAGATACTGTGTGAAGACTAGACTGGGGGGTGGGGACTCAGCAAGTAATACAAAGAACAAAAAAACAAAAAACACAACATTTGTAACTTCCGGTGGGTGTAATACAAGCATTTTCAGAGCAAGCTACAAATGATTACTAATACAAAAGATTAAAAATTTTAAGTGGCTACAGAGATGGTTAAGCAGTTCAGAGAAATGTCCCATTTCCAACTCCGACATGGCAGCTCACAACCGTCTGTAACTCTAGTTCCAGGGGATCCGATGCTGCTTTCTGGCCTCTACCGCATGCCTGCGGTGCACAGACAAGCAGGCAAAACACCCACATACACAAAAATAATGAAATAAATAGTTTAAAGGAAACCCAAGGCTCCATGAATATAAAGTCAATCCCCCTTTACTGAAACCTTATCTGATTCCTGCCTTCTCTATAAAACTAATGGCACTCAACTTCCTCTGGTGAGAGTCGATGAACCTCGGATTAAGACATGAAGAACGGTATTCTCCCATGATTGAGAGAAACTATCAGCAAAGTCAAACAGATGTGCAACCTCAACCCTTCAGTTTATAGCAAACTAAAAATAATCTGGAAACAACTATGATGTTGCACTTGTACTAAATACACACAGGTTTTGTTGTTGTTGTTCTTTTCCTTTTTTTCCAGGTCTGTATCCTTATATTTTCACCATTCCCTAAGCAATGTGGTATAGTGGATATTTACACTGTACCATGTAATACAAGCAGCTGAGAGATGGTCTGAAGTACACAGGCAGGTGCACACAAGTTCTATGCAAACACGGTACCAACACGTATGAGGCTTGTACGTCTAAAGATTTCGGTTATCCCATGAGCTAGCCTCCCATGACTCTGAAGATAAATGTGTATATTATTAATAAGAGTAATAAAAGTAAGTTCTTTCACTAACTCCCTCCGTCAGAAACTAAAGAAGTTTACAAAATAAGAAAATAAATCAGGATTCAGTTTTGAGAATCAGAATAACATAATAACTAAATGCAAACTTCTACCAGTGTGTTGAAACATTTGTAAAGTCTCTGTAAGCCCCATGTCTCTCAGCATGCTGGCTTCCTGGACTCTGTGGTTGACCTCTCAACCTAAGGGCAGGACAACTGGCTCCCTCATGCAAGATTTCTCTATGGACCTCACCATCTGGCTGCCTCAGAACTGGCAGTATGCTTTAAGTGAGCGCAAGGCGCTTATAGACATACTGTCATAAGCAATTCAGTCTCTTGGGAACTGTACTTCAGGCTCTTCCTGGAAGCTTGGGGGGGGGGGCTGACCAGCCTCTGAGAGGCAGTGGACGTGAAGGGCTTCTGCATTACCTGCCTCCTTCTCAGTTTCTGACTCAGAAACTTCATCTTCACCTTCCTCTTCCTCTGAGCTGGAGCTGCTGGAGTTTTTGTTTTCTTCCTCTGTTTCTTGGGACTTGGGGCTCTCTTCCTCATAAAGCATCTTCTCTTTGCTAAGTTAATTTGGAAGCAGAAATGACAAACCATGTAAGTTCACTGACAACCAGGTACAATAAAGGGAACAAATCTATAAATCTGTATGTAGAAGCAACAGTCTTAGGGTTATTATTAACTGTAATGCATGACTCTACGAGGTTTTGTCTTTTCAACAAACAGATGAAAGAGAACATGCATAACAAGGATAAGATGGTAATGGGGAAGATAAATATTCTTAAAAGTCATCAAACAAAACTTGCTGAGTTCTATGACATCCGAGAAATCTTGCCAGATACTGAAACAGCGATCAACAAAGAGACACATCCCTGAGCAGAGGAAGCACCCTGTATTAGAGGAGAGGGCAGGACCAAGATCCTCCAAGCTAGGCTGAGAGGGATGCTGCCAATACAGTTTCTCAGTGTAAAGCAGAGTTCATTGACTCTCAGTGCCCCCCATATCTGTGTCATCTCCCCTTACTCAAAAACACTCCCACATCTGAAGGTCATTTGACTAAAATCAAAAACAGAATCATTTTAATATAGAAATTCTCAAGTATCACACACACAGAACACCAAGTGCATCTCACTCCTTACAGACAAGTAAGCTTGTGCCTTACTTCTTGAGTCCACTCTGAAACTTTCTGTTTAGGTCTGACTCAATGAGCTCATTCCGTGTCTCCTTTTCAGCTCTAAGCTGGAAATCGAGAGAACAGAGAGAAAAGGAAACATGTTGACTATTTGTGAAAAATCAATAGTATTGAGAAGTGCCTAAACGGTAACCACCATTCTGAAAAAAACAAAAACAAAAACAAAAACAAAAAATAAAAAACAGGACAAAAATCAAAGAGAGGGAAGGGAATTCAAGAAAAGACAAACATGCTAAGTGGTGGTGGCACACGCCTTCAATCCCAGCACTTGGGAGGCAGAGGCAGGCAGATCTCTGAGTTTGAGACCAGCCTGGTCTACAGAGAGAGTTCCAGGATAGGCTCCAAAGCCACAGAGAAACCCTGTCTCGAAAAACCAAAACAGAAAATGACACACACATCATTACTGTGCACCATGTCTCCTTGGAAGAAAGTAACAGAGGAAAATCTTTATCCAAAGTAGCAATGAAACCATGGTCCTGGAGACTCAAGGAAATTGTCCCTTCAAAATCCCAAATCAAACCTTAGAGGAAAAAATAAAACAACAAGCCTAGCTTCTAAAGGATAAAGAGACGAAAGGCACCTGGGAAGATTTTATGATCCATATACCAAAATAAGGTCTCAACAAATCTAACAAAATCACACGCAGGTACTACATGGCAGATAAGTTATTGCTTCTCTTATTAGATGTATACTGTTAGAATTGGTCTGCTATTTAGATGTATAGTCTAGACCAGCAGTTCTCAACCTGTCAGACTCCCTGGAGCCATATTTACATTATAACAGTTCTGGAGTAGCAATGAAATGATTTTATGACTGGGACCCACAACATTAGAAACTGTATTAAAAAGCTGCAGCATTTGGAAGGTTGAGAACCAGTGCTCTAGACAAAATATACTTATTATGTCCTTGGAGAGACACCAACCCCTTCAGCATAGTAAGGTTGTGTGGTGAGGTTGGGCCTGGGTGGACAATCGTGTCACACCAGTTACTAGGGAGGCGGAGGCAGGAGGATTGTAAATTCAGACTAGCCTGGGCTAAGGAGTGAATTCAAATGGTTGGAGGAGATACTATTTATGCCCACAACCTAATTATGTTAATTAAAGGGCGTGGACTGTGGACTGAAATCATGGGTCAAAAACAAATCCCCTCCCTTACAAAGTTCCTCTCAGGGGTACTCGTCACTACAGTGTAAGAGGTGCCAGTCAATACAGGCCTCAACTGTTCTAACTTTGTGTGTCTGGAAAACACTTCACTCTTGTAGACCTTACACTTCCTAAATGAATCCACCCAACAAGTATTTATGATGGCCTGAAATGAATTCAAAGGCACAAACAAACATTCAAGGCCAGGAATGCTGAGGTCTTCTTTGAGAGAATCAAGCAATCCAATTTAACAATTTAGGTAATTTTTATGTGAGTCTAAATTACTTTAGAGAACAAGATTTTACTGTAATACAAAAACTTAACTATGCAAAACAGAGCTCTAGTCTACCGATGGCTGCTGCTGCTAGTTTAATAGTAGTGTTAACAAATGACATCTCTGAAATGCAGATACACCCAGTTCAGCTGTGAACCAATGACCCTGAAGTGAGGGACTGAGCCGCCCCGAGTAAACTATAAACTGCCAGGGAAGCTTCGCAAGCGTCGGCAGACTCACCACATTCTGCTTCTTCTGAAGCATCTCCAAGTGCTCAACGAGACCTTCATCAGCCACATCAAATGGCGTCTGGCCCTGGCGGGACAAAGGAGCACTGTGACAGAGAGAAAACTTCAGCCATCATGGGGTTCATCAGGGACTATACACTGACTACTTACTGCCTTTTAGGCCTGTGATACAAGCTGAATCTCCTTCAAAACGCTTAGGAGGAAAAGTGCTTCCAATTTTAGAATATGTATGTAGGTATGTATGTATATATATATATATAGTCTAACGTGTGTGTGTGTGTGTGTGTTTGTGTGTGTGTGTTTGTGTGTGTGTGTATACTAGACTAGGACCCAAGTATAAACACAAAATTTATATTTCACACATAGCCTAAAGATGGTTTTATATAATATTTTAAATAATTCTGTGCTTTCGTGCTATACTTGGGGTATCATTATCAGTGCTCACAAGTCTCAGATTACAAGCATTTCAGATTTCAGACTTGAGTTGGGGATGCCCAAGCTGTCTACCTACACTGAGATGCCTTCACGAGTCACAGAGGAGACAGTTTAGGAAACGTGAACCACAGAGTGTGTGCTGTCAAGCAGCAGTGAGAGGCTACAGTGGTACCATGCCCAAAGCTTATGGCCTCTTGACAAATAATCAAAGGGAATCCCGATTTATGCCTGTTCAAGAGTATCACTGTGGTGACAAACTCACTAGTACCCTTTAAAGCCTCAAAGGAAGGTCGGGGGCCACCCCCACACTGAGGACTAACAGGAGTCACCTCCCTCTAAGGAAGAGGAGGGAAGACAGGCGGGCTGTAAATTTTAGGAGACTGACCTATGTCTGAGAATGAGACCCTGCATTCAGGAGTTACAGGAGACTGGGAAAACCATTCTAGAAAAAGCAGATGATTTGGGTGGGAGCCTGAGAAGAACACTTTCAGCCAAAAGGAAGCGATCTTCGCCCTTACGAGAGCTCGCCTGCTAAAGGACCACACAGGACATTAGGCCTCTCAGAGCTCGCTTGCTGTCAAGAGCAGGCATCTTTTTTCATTTCCTTTTGTTTTAGGGGCTTCAACACAAGTAGAGCCGGATGACACAGTTGGTGGACTTGTGTTTTACCTAGCAAATGCACTTAGTATACTGGCAAGGCAGCAAGGCAAGGAGGTAGAGGGCAGCACGTCCCCCAGCACGGTCAGCTGGACATTGAACAAAGACTCGAAGCCTAGGCCAGGCGCCCAGCCACACGGTCGGTCTCATGGCCCTTTTAGAGGTTCAGGCTCACTAACCAGCTTGTTCCGGATATCCATGTCACAAAGAGCTTCCGCCAGGATGGAACAAGCCTCTTTCAATCCCCAGTGTGCAGCAGCGTGGAGAGGAGCCCAGCCGTCATGGTCCTGAACATTGAGCTCATAGCCGGCCTGAATTAAAAGTCTAGAAGGAAACCGAAAAGTACACTTATGCCCTCGGTTTTATAGTTTTCTATAAACTTCGTTCCTCTAAGAAGTAGCCTGCAACTCATATTACTACTTTGCGCACCAATCACGATCGTCACTGCACCTCCCCGTAAGACTGTGCACTAGGCATTCCCCGCACACAGCCACGTCACACTGTGCTGGTTAGTTTTTGTCAACTTGGCATAAACCTGGATCACCTAGGGAGAAAGAGCCTCAGCTGAAGAATTGCCTCTACCAGACTGACGTGTCTGAGGGGCATCTTCTTACTTGCTAATGGGGGAGAGGGGGTCCAGCCCGCTGTGGGCAGGGCCATCTGTAGGCAGGTGGGCCTGAACTACGTAAGCAAAGTAGCTGAGCAAGCTAGAGGAAGCAGGTCAGCAGCAGCTTTCCTCATGCCTCTGCTCCTGCTTGAGTGTCGCCCTCAGGGATGGACTGCTATCAGGGTATGTAAGCTCATAAGCGTTCCTCTCCCTAGAAGTGCTTTGTTCAAGGAGTTTGTTACAGCGACAGAAAACAACTGGGACATACACCACACAGGAGGAATACAGAGAGCAGTTTGTACCTAAGGTTAACTAAAAACCAAATCAATTAGCCAAGTCGCACAGCTCTTATTACAGGGTGTACTTCGCATTGTCCAGTTCAGAAAGGAATTCACATTTGAAACGAGGACTCAAATATCAATGAGCTTTGTATGTGACCTTTATAGGCCATGACTGTTCTCTGTAGAACGCCACGCCTCCAATTCTAAAAATACCCACAGAGGGGTCGAGCTAACCATAAAGCTACAGCCTAACTGGCATCTATGTAAATTACATTTTTAAGTTAATTCACTTGAAGTGCATGTGAGTGTGTGTGGAGGGGTTACATCCATGCCATTGTGTGTAAGAGGGAGTCAGAGGACAACTTGGAGGAGTTGGCTCTCTCTACCACGTAGAGGATTGAACTTAGGTTTGGCAGCAGATGTTTTTACCCACGAAGGTGTGTGTGTGTGTGAGAGAGAGAGTGTGTGTGTGTGTGTGAGAGAGAGAGAGAGATAAAGAGAAAGAGAGTGTGTGTGTCTGTGTATGAGCTTGCAAGGTCTATAACTGATCTAACGAGCCCAGTTGTCTAAATCATAGAACCAGAAGGGTCATAGGTCTGAACCATCAAAGAGGAGGAGGCTTCAGGAGAGCCAATGATACGTCACAGACCCATGCCACTGTGCCTCAAGTCTGTCTAACAGCATGAGCCAAGGGAGAGGGCTGTAAGAGGAAGGGAGGACACCCATGAAGGAACACTAGCCAAGTATGAGGAAAATTTGCAAGGCAAGAGGAGACCAACCAGAAAACCAAGCACAGTTAAAATGAAGAACTTGTGCTTGTAAAAGTCGCCTCTCCTTCCCGCAGGGTGCCCAGCTCCGTACCTGAGGACTTCAGAGTAGCCCTTGGCAGCAGCCACATGCAGAGCTGTGGCCCCGGAGCGAGGCTGCCGCACATCTTCTATCTTCCCGCTGTTGAGCCACTGGCGGGCGTCCTGCAGCATCTGCTGCTCTTCCTCCCTTCGTGACTGCTCTAGGTCAACCCCTGCAGAACCAGACGCCAGGCGCCAGGGTTACCAAAGCTCCATCCGCGGCCAACAGCCCTTTACATTCAAAACACACCCTTTACATTCAAAACACTCAGGCGGCAAGTAACGGCTCCCTCCTCAAGCTGGCAACTCATTAAGTTTAAAGCAATGCATCTGCATCACAAACTCAGCAATGCTCAATAGCCGGGCTAAGCAGGATGTGGTGCACATTCGTGAAGGGAACATACCTAACACTGTTTTCAACAGAACACGAAATCAGATGGGATGTTATTTTTACTTTACAAGGTTTGTACGGAACTATAAATGCCAAAGTCCTTTAACATGTTATATGATCTCAGTTTCCCAACAATCTACCTGTGGGGTAACTAGCCTCACGTGACACATGAGGACATAATCACACAGAAAGCTGGGGGCTCGGTGTATGGTCACAAAAATGCCAGTGGCAGAGCTGCCATCAGGGTTCCTTTGGCTCTCTTCTTTTCCACTCGCTCCGCCACAAGATTACTATCAAAAGTCTTCATTCTGACAGGCGGTGGTGGCGCACGCCTTTAGTCCCAGCACTCGGGAGGCAGAGGCAGGTGGGTCTCTGTGAGTTCGAGGTCAGCCTGGTCTACAGAGCGAGTTCCAGGACAGCCTGGGCTGCACAGAGGAAAGAAACAAAGCAGAAGTTTTCATTTCAGGAAGGCCATCCTATGGGAAGGTGGGGAAGGTGCACTCCCCGTAAAACTCACTTCCATACGCACGTGTATACACTCACCTGAAGTTACACAGGGCAATGCACAGATTAGCTAGTGATCGGAAGCCAACACTAGAGTCTGCTTTTAAGGCAATGCAGATTTTGTTTCCCTCCCAATCACATGGCATTACCCCCAAGAGCTCTCCCCTTTACCCATCAATCTGCAATATCTAGACCAGTAAAGGAGGGGCATTCTTCACTACGTAAGACGACGAAATGTTCCGATGACAAACACGCCCTTTCAAAGGGTTCCATACTCATAAGCAGACTCTTATCTGGGCTTCCAGCCTTTCTTTTGGGTTCTTATATGAGGAACTGTGGACGGAAGAACTGTGGGTGGAAGCCTGGGGGGGGATGCACAGGGCGAGGAGGAGGAGTTAGCCGTGCTGTGAGGTGAAATACCCACACAGATGCTCGTTCCCACAGAGATGCAGGAAGGCTCAGCAATCAAGATGAAAACAGTGGATTCTCAAACGAAAGCTTCGTTTTAAATTTGTTAACTGCAACATATTTTAGGAGACGAATGGGGGCTGGAGAGATGGCTCAGCGGTTAGGGGCGCTGGCTGTTCTTCCAGAGGTCCTGAGTTCAAGTCTCAGCACCCACGTGGTGGCTCACAGCCATCTGTAAGTGTAGTCCTGTGGGGTCTGATGCCCTCTTCTGGTGTGTAGATGTACATGCATACAGAACACCCGAACACATAAATCTTTTTTAAAGCGTATTTTTTAGGAGAGAAAATGAGTGGGATGAGAGGGTGAACTTTGTATAAAAATTTAATTCAGTACGGCACAAAATCACATTTGGACGTAGTAACAGGCCCTGGAATGACCTGGCATATCCACCACTTAAGGCAGGCTTAGCAGACCTTCTATAAAAGGTGAGATACTGAATGTCTCCTTGCACATTTGCCAGCCCTACAGCCTGCCATTATTACTCAACTCTGCTGATGCAGCGTAAGAGCAGCTTTGGATAATAAACAAGCAAGTGTGGCCAGACTCGGACCACACAGGAAAGAACACTAAAGTTTGGAAATAACTTCTGGTAATTTAGAAAAGATAGGGGTATCTCCAGTCACTACAGATCCCACCCAGAGCTTCTTCATTGCTTTAACAGAAACCTAAGGAGTGCTGTCCACGGTTGGTGGATAACTTTAAATTGGAAAGAGTTAGGAGGCTAAGTGTGCTGGCGCTTGCCTATAATACTGGTGGAGAGACATGGGATTTGAGGAAGCTGTCCATGGACAGCTTCAGCAATTCTGTGTGTAAAACCAAGTAACTCTGAGGTGTTTAAGAGGAGAGCCCCACCTTATGCCCCAAAATGAGTCTCTTCTAAAACTACAAAGTAAGAATATGCGATTTCAGAATATATTCGTCTAAGTTAGGTTTCTTATCTCAAGAAACTACTAGAACCAGGTATGGGGGCTCACACCTGTAACCTAACATGGGGAGACAGAAGTGGAGGACAGTCCAGGCTACAGAGCAAGCTCTAGGGCATGTGGGGCGGTGAACTTATGACTCTCTCAAAAACACAAACACACAAACCAAAGAAACTATCGGAAGTTTCCACAGTTACCATGGCTAAAGATCCTTTCAGAGGCTTTGATAAACAGCTTCCTAGTACCACCTGTAGTTCTCAAAGGAAAAGGACACAAAGTCACAAACTGGATTTGGCCTTTCCTCAGGCTGTCCTGTGCAACAGAGGTAATACAATGAACACACACACACACACCAGCCCACAGTCCCCCTCGGGTCACTCCTAAGTCCAAGATCAGTGCACAACCTCAGAATAGCAAAGACAAGTAGGCTGGTCATCCTTTGGGCATTCGGCCTATGCTGCATGAGTTATTAAGAGGACCGATGACGAATGCTGTCCCGACAGACTTAATCCTGCCCTGTCACAAGATAAGGAGGAAGGATTATGTTCCCTAAGGGGCATCGTGAGAGCCTCCGCTAACCGCCCAGTCTCCTAGGTTACCTTGCTTCTTTACTTGTTCCAGAAGAAGGTCTTTCATGGCTGGCTCTTCTGCAAGGTCAGAAGGAACTTCACCCTCGCTGTTCACAATACCCACACTGGCTCCGTGGCTAATAAAATACCTGTGCGGTAAAATCAATATTATCTCTGTCAGTATGATATCAATTTGTACTGTGTCTTGAATTCAATGTACAGCAAGGCATACCCGGGGATTTTAAATATGGTGCAAGTGAGGGGTTTTGTTATTCATTTATTATTAATTTCATGCCCTAGTAGCCTTCAATAACTAGGACCACAGGTTTCCCTATTTCCCAACAAGAGCAATGTTTTCATATTCATGTTTATTTACATAATCACTTTTCTTACATACCAAATCAAAAAAGATTTCTTACATATGCATATTCTCAACACGAATCCGTTTGCTTCTAGAAATACTAAGTCTTCCTAAATACTATAAGGAGCAAAGTGGGGTAAGGCATTTGGCCAAGCCTGTGCCCTAGCTAGCACTCAGGATGTGGAAGCAGGAGGAGCTATAGTTAAAGGTCAGCCTGGCCTCCACGCGGAGTTCAGACTCGTCCAGGCTACAGAGTGCGACCTGACTGGTGAGGTAGAACAGGGAAAGCACGCAGCCCTCACTCATGCAGCCTGGGACCCAAACAAACGTTTACAAGACTTATTACACGTCCAGTATTAGAAATAAGAACACTTAAAAGCCATGTAGATAAGCAGTTCTCATGAAAATTTGCTTTCAGTGCTAAGGCGAAGTTTGCTTAGTAGTATGAAAACTGAACAATAAATATGGATCAGAACTTAACTCCCACAAAACAAGCTGTCTATACGAATCTACATTCATAAAGGAAATTAAGTTACTAAAGAAACATTTAAAATGCTAAGCAGATTCTGAATTCACACAGAACATGTATCCTGAAGGGGAAAAAAAGGGCTGATAAGCTCGATACCTTATATGTATCTTTTAATTTTCAAACACTGTTCTTAAAGAATAGAAGTTCAAACATGTTAAGACATTTGCTCAAGAAAAAAATTTAAGAAAGAAAAAAAGTGGTGTTTTTTAAAAACACACAACTAGATCTGGCAGACGCTGTTAGCCTCAGTCTTTTTCATGTAAGTCTAAATCAAATTAGTTTTAGGCCAATTAGAATCCCAATAATACGACAGGCAGTGGTGGGCATGTCTTTAATCTCAGTACTTGGGAGTCAGAGGCCGGCGATCCTGTCAGTTCAAGGACACCCTGGTCTACAGAGTGAGATCCACGACAGCCAGAGTAACACAGAGAAACCCTGTCTTGAAAAACAACAAAAACAAAAACAAAAATAAATAATCAATCCCAATAATTCTAAGACTACTATCAGACACTCAGAAGTACTTAAAAGGTAAAGAAAAACTATATAAATTATCTTCCAATTCATTCAGCAATTCAATGAACAACAACAATTAAATCAACATTTATTGACCTACTATGATGACATTCAAAGAACCACATTTTAGGTTGGATAGATTTAAAATATATATATGGGCTATGTATTTGAGAATTGGCAAAGGTGCAAAAAAAATCAATAAAAATGAAATCAAGAGCATAACTTTGATTTCTCAGTCTAGTACCCCAGCATAACAGGGCCTCAATAAATGTTGGTCCATCAACTCCACATATATACAGCCTGTGGTGGCTTGAATGAGAAGGCCCCACAGGCTCACAGAAGGAGTACTTGTCACCAGGGAGGGGCACAATTCAAAGGGTTAGGAGGTGTGACCTCATTGGAGGATGTGTGTCACTGTGAGTGAGCTTTGAGGTTTCAGAAGCCCATGCCAAGCCCAGAGTGTCTGTCTCTCTCTGTCTCTCTTCCTCTTTCTCTCTCTTTCCCTCCCTCCCTCCCTCCCTCCCTCTCTCTTTCTCTCTCTCTCTCTCTCTCTCTCTAATCCAAACACAGAACTCCCTGCTACTCCTCCATGTCTGCCTGCATGCTGCCCGCTCCCTACCATAATGACAACGGACTAAACCTTTGAACTGTCAGCCAGCACCAATCAAATGCCTTCCTGTACACTGGTTGCTGTGGTCATGGTTTCTAAGACACAGCTCAAAGGCATTTCCTCCCTCAGAGATTCAGACACCTCACTCAACTCTATGAAGTTAATTCCTTCTATCCATATTTTTAAATCTACCAAGTGCCACCACTGTACCCAATTATCACTTCATTGCTCCATGGGCCAATAGTTTTTCTTTTCTGGCTTCTTCCTCTCAAGACAAATGAGTGTTCAACTATACCATCCTGAAAAATAAATCAATATACGAATACTACACACAGTATACACACAATAAATATTGGTTTAACTGAAATATATATAGTCAAATCCAACCATGTACTAGTTCCCCCAACCCCTTCACACCCAGCTCTGCTCCTTAGGGTGAGCTATTTGCTCCAAGTGAATGGAACAAATTCCCTTCTCTCCCCTTGTAGATACCTTCTACATCTTTCAAGGTCCATTTCAAATTCTTTTGCCTTCAAGAATCTTGCCTGTTCCTGCCAACTGAATTCTCTCCCCTTCCTTTAATGCTGCCTTCCTGCCCCATAGTAGACACTGTATCTTGATGCTCGCTCTCTTCTCTTGGCATTCTATAAATATTGCTTAAACTACATGAAATATCTTGGTCTAACTAGTATCCATCCCTGGGTCAGGTTACACAGGCTGCTGGCTCTCCCTCTTCTGATCTGTTCATGTGCTAATGATCAAGAAAACCGGTTTCTACCGAGGAATACAGCTTTCCATTTTTCCACACTTCCCCAGTTCATTGGAGAAAAACAGTGTTGCAATAAACTATGTCACGCTAAATGTTTGGGTCAATCTCCTGCTTCTAAACCAAACACCACTAGGAATAATCCAGCCAACTAGTATTCTACTTCTAAGCACAAAGACACAGACACACACACACACACACACACACACACACACACACACACACGCACGTGCGCACTCACACGAGTAGAAATTCTCGGCAGAAAGATCACCAAGGAACATGAGATACAATAGTCATGGGTTTCTCCTGAAAAAAAGCCAGTCTCTCTGTCCTTCATTCCCAGTCTCTCTGTCCTTCATTCCCAGTCTCTCTGTCCTTCATTCCCAGTCTCTCTGTCCTTCATTCCCAGTCTCTCTGTCCTTCATTCCCAGTCTCTCTGTCCTTCATTCCCAGTCTCTCTGTCCTTCATTCCCAGTCTCTCTGTCCTTCATTCCCAGTCTCTCTGTCCTTCATTCCCAGTCTCTCTGTCCTTCATTCCCATCCCCTTGAAGTCCTGTGCTGCTGATTATCCTAGAATTAAGTTTAAAGTGTAAGTTCTTCAGGACACAAACTGACTCCAGTACAGAGGTCACATGTGTGACCCCAGCCCTTGGGCTACTGAGGCAGAAGGACTGATGTTCAAGGGTTGCCTGGGCTTAACGGAGACCACAGTCAGTCAGGGCTACACAGTGGTACCCATCTCTAATTAATTTTTTAAATACTTTTTATTACCTTGTGTGAGGGTGTTTTGTCCCAATGAAGAGCTGTGCACCATGTGTGTGCATAGCCCTTGGAGCCCAGAAGAGGGCGCCACATCCCCTGGAGTGTAGTCAATAGAGGGCTATGGGTGACCGTGAGAGTACCACAGATCCAGCCCAGGTCCTGTGGAAGAGCAGCCGATACCCTTAATGCTGAGCCATCACTCTGTTCCAATCACCAATTACACAATCATGTTATCTCCCTGATCTGTTGTAGAAAAACATTACGAATAAAGAGTAAGTAAAAACTTATCTGGGATACGGACAGATGGCTCAGGGGTTAAGAGCACTGGCTGCTCTTTCAGAGGACCCAAGTTCGATTCCCAGCACCCACTTGGTAGCTCACAACTGTCTAGCTCCAGTTTCGGACAACATGATACCCATGGCAAAAACACCAATGCACACAAAAATAACTTATCTGATGATCTAAATGTGTATATTACAAGGTAAACTAAGGCATGCCATCTCTACCTCTGTCCTACATCTACAGTGGATTCCAGTCTGGATCAGCTCACTATGGTCGGACATTCATATGTATAAGTTGTGATGGTCACTGATAAACTTACTTCATTCAACGTACTATTTGGTTGAGTAAAGATTTCTAATTAAAGAAATCACAAAAGGCATTACAGTAATTCTCCGTATTCACCTTCCCAGAAAGATTAACACCACCTATTACTCTAATTTAAGACTCAGCTGGCCTTAGGTAATTTAGAAAAGAAAAAAAAAATGGGTAAAAAACTAAATTCTTGAATGCAATGAGATTTTGTAGCTCAATCCCAAACTTTCCACCTTAACGCATGCTCAAGTATGAATAATGAGAAGCTGGTCTGCCTTACATTTCTTAAATAAATGTTGTAAGTCCAAAATGGATCAAGAAGTCATCTTAACTCCTGTGCGTGGGACCCTGACATCAGTGAGTACAACTTAGAATCAGAGGCCGCCTAGGTGACCAAGAGGGCACAGGTCTTGATTGACTTAGGACAGGAGGGGAACGGGGCACAGAGAAAACCCTGCTATGCAGTGGACTTGGCTTGGGGACCGATCCGGCCCTGTCCAACACCTGCACTGATGCCTTGTGTGTCCTGCTCACATACTTCTTCAGCTGAGTATCCATGCCTCCAAGGAAATCCAGCCACTCCGCGATGCTCCAGAGACCTGTGCACATGTAGTTCTCAGACCTAGACATGACTGTTTGCTGAATAATAAACAAAACAAACGTACAAAAAAGTGCTAACCCCAATCGAGTCACTGAAAAGGACTTAATCTGGTTTTCAAAAGGCCATAGACTATCCTGATTAGATTTACTTTATCAATCTAAATTTGCCCTGGAAATTTTAAAGATGTTTCAACTGTCAAAGTTTCTTTCCTAACCAGAAACAAAATTCCTGATCATTCTTTCATATATCACAGACTTATTTTGTGCTTCCCATGTGATCAGGATTCTTCTACCCTAGAGAGGGCAATCTGCCTCCAAGGAGCTCAGCAGCTACTAACTTATTAAACACAGCCATTCAACCAATGTGGAGAACATATGCCAACCATCACCTTGCCTTGGTCCTATGTGCTCCAGCTCATAATTTGCTATTTATTGCAGTAATACTTATTTAAAAAAAAAAAAAACAAAAACCAGATTTATAAAAAAGTCCAAAGGGAGAAAAAAAAATTCTACAACTCACATGCATGCGTTCTGCTGTTCAGAAATTAGCCAGACAGTGCACCGAGCTGATGTTGCCTCTGAATAGTCCAGCAAATATGAATTACAGAAACAGAAGCACAAAATTGGAGGCAAGAACTGCGCAGATACAAAGGACACCAAACACCATGTCAGCTAGCAAGAACTATGCATATACAAAGGACACCAAACACCATGTCAGCTAGCAAGAACTATGCATATACAAAGGACACCAAACACCATGTCAGCTAGCAAGAACTATGCAGATACAAAGGACACCAAACACCATGTCAGCTAGCTGTTAGTAGTCAATTTTCTGCATTTGTAACTTAGAGTAAAATTCCATTTCTGGTAAGCAGAGGGGTTTGCACCAAAACCTCCGCAGACGCTCACTCACTCTGCTATGTTGAGGTAACCACAGGAAGCTGCTGCGTGAAGGGGCGTCCAGCCCTCGTTGTCTTGCTGGTTTACATTGGCTCTGTTCTCCACCAGAAACTTCACCATGTCCAAATTTTCATCAATACAGGCCTGAAAAGAAAAGCCCACTGATTCATTCAACAGTAATTTATGGAGTTCTATTATATACCAGAAACCGATCTGGACAATGACAGTGGTCAGCAGCTTTGATACACTGTTTATTAATGTTTCCTAGTAAGTGTCTGAAGTATGACTTCCAAACTTAGAAACACTATTAAATATTATTTACAGTACTAAGAATATTAATGGGACTAACTGTGAAATTATTCCTGTAGTGCTGTAAATGGGAAGCTACTGTAGCATTTTTTTTTTTTTTTTATAAAAAGGATGTTAGAAATGTTTCCATGTGTTTTTCTAAATGGCTTCAAATGATATGGGAAGACATATTTGTAGTTGCAGACAGATACTGTTCTCTGCCTTCACACCAGCAAGAAGGGAAAAACACAGAAGCTTTTTTAATAAAAGTTTTTAAGTCTTTAATAAGGCGAGAAGAAATAATCACAATGAAATCTGGCTGAGCCAGGCACGGTGAACATACCTGGAAGCCCAGCGTTTGAGAGGTTCAGGGAGAAAGTTCAAGACTGAGGTCAGCCTGTTACACACTGATACCCTACTTCAAGAATAAATTAAAAATTTAAAGAAAGTCAGGCAGTGGTGGCCCACACCTTTAGTCCCAGCACTTGGGAGGCAGAGGCAGGTGGATGTCAGTGAGTTCGAGGCCAACCTGATCTACAAAGTGAGTTCCAGGACAGACAGACTGTTACATAGAGAAACCCTGCCTTGAAAGATAGATAGATATCTAGATAGACAGACAGACAGGGAGGCAGACAGGGAGGCAGGCAGGTGAGAGAGACAGAGACAGAGACAGAGACAGAGTGTGTGTGTGTGTGCATGTGCACATGTGTACAAGTTTATGTCTGTGCATGTAGAAGCCTTAGGACAATCTTGGGGCATTGTTCCTCAAGTGCCGTCCACCTATATTTTTTTCAGGCAGGGTCTCACTGGTCTGGAGCTTCCTAGGAGGCGAGGCTGGCCAGTCAGGGAGTACCCCACAGATCTGTCTGTCTCTTACTCCTTGCTCTGGAATTACAAGTACATGCCACCATGTTGTTGTGTATCCTCTCTCTGTCTGTCTGTCTCTCTCTCTCTGCCTGTCTCTCTGTCTCTCTCTCGCCTGCCTGCCTGCCTGCCTGCCTGCCTGCCTGCCTGCCTATCTATCTATCTATCTATCTATCTATCTATCTATCTATCTATCTGTCTATCTATCTATCTTTCAAGGCAGGGTTTCTCTATGTAACAGCCTGGCTGTCCTGGAACTCACTTTGTAGACCAGGTTGGCCTCTGCTGTCTAGAACCTTCAGCTGCCCTGCCTGTCCTCCACCCACCTTGGTCCCGGGAGGGATGAGAGAAAGGGGGGATGCTGCCTGAACTCTTCTCCAGTGAAGACGGACTAAATTTAGATGTCCTCTGCCCACTCCCTCTGCAGATGCGCTCGCTGCTGACTCATGCAGCGTGGTCCATGAGCAGACTCACCCATGAGCAAAACTCTCTCTGCCCAGCGCTACCCTCAAGTCTCCAGACAAGAACTCATTCCTTTCTTTGGGAAGGAAGTTAGTTTTTGGGCGTTAACCACGGTAACAACGGTGGGACTTCCCTGCCTTTAACTCAAGTATCTTCCACTGTGGCCTGCGTCTGTTTCCTCTTAGCTTGTATTCCTACAGACACACAAGAGTGTCCTAGAGTAAAAACTTGCTTTAAGCTCTGAAATAGAGGTATATACTTAATTCTTAGTCCAAAAGAACCGACAATTCCAAAAACCGCTCAGTAAAATAAAGGTTGCCACAACCAGCATGAAGACCAGCTCTCTGCAAGGGAAGATGCTTCTTGTATCAATGGTATGGACACTGGTCTTCCTACTGTACCTAGTGTTGCTCTCCGCATCAACGGCTAAAGTGACTCGGGGTTAAGCGAAGCCTGAGTTAATCTGGGAGCACAGGACCTTACAAAACTAAGTCTTCTGGGTCCCAGAATAGCCTCCAACTGTCAGCGCGGCTTAGTGCTGGCTCACAAGGCTGCCCTCGCTGCTGTGGCTCGGGAGAAAGCTAAGGCGACCTGTTTCGCCTGCAAACAACTGTCCACAGAGCCCAGCTCCAGGTGGTTTTCGACAAAAAAACCAGACCCGGTACAGCCTAACTCCCACACGTTTTTTTAATTCTGTGTTTGCCTTCATTTTAATAAATCTTGAGGAAAAAAATGCTGTCACTTTAGGTGGAAAAAAGAACACCAAAAAGATACGGCCAATTCCTCAGGCAGCCCTCAGAACCAGGTACCTGATAAAAATTCGTATCTAGAATGTATAGGGTACACTTAAAACTCAACAAAGGCAATCGAATCTTAAAAACTGGGGGGATGGGGTCAAACATGTGTAGTGAGGTGTCCACCCCACCTGTCCGTGCAGCACTGACCATGCCCGAATGGGCGTGGTCACAGGTACAGACAGAGGGAGAGTGGGTTTTAGGTCTGGGGTCGGGACAGGTGGCGCTCTCTTGCTTCCGGTGGGGTCACAGAAGACAGCCTGGGTGGACCCTTAGAAAGGGAACTTGCGGGGATCACCTACACCTTGTGTAAGTGACTTCTCCCCGAAATAAATTGTATTTAATCTATATTTGAGCCTAGTCCCGTGAATCTTTATCCGTGCATCCACAAACATGTCTCTGTGTTTACAAATGGTCAAAGCACATGAGGAAGTACTTAACATCACCAATCATTAAGGAAATGCAAATCAATACTACAGATGATACAGGTCTTTAATCCTAGTACTTAGCAGGCAGCCATGAGCAAATCTCTGCATCCCAGGGCAGTCTGATCTACACAGTGTGTTCCAAAAGAGTGAGGGCTGCATGGTGAGACTCCATCTCAAAAATAAAACAGATAAATTAACAAAAAATAAAGTATCTCAAAGATGTGGGGAAAAATCTGTAGAACAGTACAGTTTCTACAGAAAACAGCATGGAGATTCTCTAAAAAGCAACTGTCATTTCTATTATATCCAAAAGTAGAATTTGTATTATGAAAATCAGAAGATTTGAAAGCAGTCTCAAAGAGGTATCTGTACAGCCACATTCATGGAAGCATTTCCTCACAATTGCTAAACTGTGGGAATAACTAGAGTCCATTAACAGGTTGAGTAGATAAGCTAGACGTGGTATTAAATACTACACACATATTCAAGAAGGAACATGTCTCTATTGACACCTTGGTTTCCGCTGTTGGAAGCCAACAAGTTTGTGGTAGTGTGTGACGGAAGGCACCGGAATGATCAGACTGGCACAAATTAGGGAATCCAAATCTAGACTGTGCCTTCTCTCAACTTCTTGCTATATTTACTGAAAACACCAACAGGGACTGATCCCTTCTTTTCCAAATGAAAAGTGCCCCCACCCCAAGATTGCACAGATCTTCGAAATAATATATTAAATAGAATGCTTTCATTTTTTAACCCAACTGTAGGTCAAATAGTAAAGCCCTCCCAGATCTAACCCCACGGTTCTTTCATTAGCAATGGGGGGGGGGGGTGTTGGTATATGGTATCAGGTAGCCCAGGCTTCAAATTCACTATGCACTTAAACTCCTGATCCCCTGCCTGGGAATACGGGTTTGTTGGAGGTGCTCTGGCTGGGCACTGATACAGGAACTAAACCGAGGGTAGGAAGTAGTGTAGACGAGCTCCCTGTGAATCCCAAATCTGTAGGTCAAAACCCTTCTGCTTCCCTCAGGTAACTCCATCAGATGCTAAGACACTGTGCTGCCAAGTTAAGATGGTAGCGCCATTAGTCTGGAAATCTCCAACATCAGCAGACAGCTCATTCTACAAGAGGCGTGAACACGCCGTCCTTAAGATTGACTGACCCGCACACACCAGTCAGTCCTTCCAAGTACCCGTTTCTGCAACCCAAGCAAACACGATACAATGGAATAACTGCTGTTTAACCGAGAACCATTACAGCGGCCTACTCCAACATGACAGGTGACTCCAGCTGCTGTCCGTCCCGGGTGAAAGACTCCGAACTCTGCTGGCATAGAATGCCTGGCTCTCAGATGGTAAGAACTCTATCTGACTATGCACTCACTGGTCAGGCAGGCTCTGGACACAGATCAGTGGCCTTCCAAACAGAGATGACCAAGAGACAGCAGAAGAAAAGAATTTTCCATGAGCTAGACACAGTGGCTCCTAACTCAGCACTCAGGAAAGCTGAAGCAGAAAGACTGACAAGTTCAACCTCTGAACTGAAAGAAGTTGCCATGGTCAGGGTGTCTCTTCACAGCAATAGAAACCCTAATTAAGACATCACCAGATCTGATAACCTGAATCTGATCTCTAGGGTCCACACGATGGAAGGGAAAAACTCACTCTGGCAAGCTGTTCTCCAACCTCCACACAAACACAAATGTAATTTTAAAGAAAAGATTAACTTATTCTGTATAACTTAATGACTTATTTAATGTCATATATTCAACTGCAGAAGTAACTAAATAAATGCTTTCTACGTAGTAATATAGAAGCATCCAAAATAGGGTTCGTGGGCTGGGGATAAGATACCACTTGGCTCATGAAACATTCGTAATACCTGATTCCATCTCCATAAAAATAGTTTTAACATATACAGAGTAATCTGTTATTAGTCTAATCCTTCGAAATTATTGCTTGAGGAAAGTAGCCAGTTAGTGAAACTGGACTGTTACTCCAAACTAGACTAAGCATGAAGTATAAACTACACAGACCCCACACGCTTTCACTACCACTCATAAGCGTGAGTCTGGGTTGGTAACCTCCTCATATCTTAGCTACCCGTTTCAGTCCCAGCCACCCCCTCCCAAAGGTCTATTCTACTGCCAACCTGGCGTGTAGAATAAATAAACTGCTGTTCCACAGAGAGGGATTTCTGTACTTGACTCCAGATCACTCTGTGCCCATAAACAAGTGTTTCACAAGCCTCGGGGCAGGGGAAAGCTCGGAAGCCATGGCATGGGCAAAGCTCCATGGCTGTCAA